TTTCCAGATAGGCACTCACTCAGGCACTGGCCAACCCCATACCTGTTTAGCTGCGGCAAGGTTGTGATCATGTGTATTTTAGACTGTACATCTTTACTATTTCACATACACACACACACACACACACACACACACACTCATTCATTCATTTTCATCCCTGCACAACAAAGCTGCACATGTGTCAAAATCCCATTACATGTTAGTTAAGTCAAGTTATCCCAAAATATTATAGTTCTGTGTTCCGCAAGTTCCATGGTGTCATGACCCACAACTCACGGATTATACACTGTGCAATGGAAGACTAAGAGGAAATCAAGATTCTGGCTCCATCCTTGGGGGATGACCTGCCAGGACCTTCTTCAGAACTCCCCAGGCCAAAGGACACAGCCCTGCTACCCTCGTCTGATTCAGAGGAGGAGTCTTCCACAGTAACCCAACTCCTTACGCCCCGCAGGAATCAAGTACTATAAATAAGGTAGGGGTCCTTTAACAGCCATTTGGCAACTCTGATGAGATGTTGCTTCCTATAGTACAAATTCAGTCATAATTTATAGAGCTTCAGTTGGATATAGTGCTCCCAGAGGCCACAGTTTGGATAGATGGCCCAGCAGGACCCTGGGAACTCTCCAAGGTCCTGCATACTATGGATCTCTGTTATAGATGCTTGCCTTGATTTCCTGACTCAGGTTATTGACTTGGGCTCTTTTCATGACACTATTGCTCTTCCCCTGTGAGCTTTGAGCTCTTGTAGAACAGGACCTGTCACTCCTCACAGTGAACACCATTCTTGCTATTATATTATACCATTCATCAGTCTATGTTACACGTATCAGTCAATAAATCTTCTGTTATCACTGGAAATCTATATTTAGATTAACATTTAGGTCAGATACAAAATGATCCTGGCTGTTTCCAAACATCCTCAAACATTTCTGATCTGTGGAAGATGAGATGGAAGAGCAGCCTTCCATAAAAAGAGAAGTTGACTGAGCTGAATGAGGGGCTGCAGTTGGTAACCTTCAGTGTTAGCAGGTGTGGAAAGCACTAAAGGGATCACTATTGAAACACAACATCCATCTCATGCTATCACTTTCCATCTGCCTTAGGTTTTTCTTTGTTGTTGTTGTTGTTTTGAAATATCTTAAAGATGACTTTGCATCATTCCCAGTTGTCAGTGGGATTTCACTCTCAGGTCAGACAACTTGCTGGTCCATGCATTTCATCATCTGATCATCATAAAGGCGAACTTAAATCTGAGCGTCCCGTGCTCCATGACCAAGATTCAACTTTAAAGTTTTCCAAGGCCACTCCCTTCTCACATCCCTTCAAAGCTGGCAATAAGAAGTAGGTTGAATAAGCAGCCATACATCCTCCAGGTGGCTTGCCATGCTCAGCATGATATCCTAAGTCAGGCATCCCCAAACTCAGCCCTCCAGATGTTTTGGGACCACAACTCCCATCATCCCTAGCTAACAGGACCAGTGGTCAGGGATGATGGGAATTGTAGTCCCAAAACATCTGGAGGGCTGAGTTTGGGGGTGCCTGTCCTAAATCATCTTATTATGTGCCTGCACTACATGTTAATTCTGGCTAAAGATGCAATTAAATGCAATCAGCCAAAGATTCATTAATAAATCAATCCCTAAAGCCCCATTCTGCCCCTCAAAGGGCAACTAGCTAATCCCTTATTGTTGCATAGGGTGGGTTGCACATGCTTATAAAGGTGTGTTCTAGTCTGCTCCTTGGCCCAATGTGCCCTGCATCAGAACACAAACATTCTAGCTCATGTGTCCCGAAGAAGGGACAAATGTGTCTCTGGCAAAAGGCCACAAAACACACATTGTTTTGTAGTAGCTAAAGCTGCAAACTGTTTATAACAAGCCAGGCAGAATGGGGCATGTTTGCCCTACAGCTATCAGGTCCATCATTGTTCAGTGGCTTACATGAGGTTACAACACGGTACCATTTTATGCAGCCTTGCTAACTTCTCATTTTGTCACAAGACTGGGGTCATCATTTTGCTATGTCTCGTGCTAATGCTGGCAAAATATGGTACCGGTTTCATGTCTGATCTTACCAAACATGATGGGAATGGCAATAATGGCACGTAAATTCTTTTCACCTGCCTTCCATTATTTCACAAGTGGCCTGTTTGTGGTCAAAGCTTGAACTGTAATCCATATGCCGCAGCAATGTTCATCAAGAACATCAGCAGAAATCCACTGCTTCATTCTCCTCCTCTGGATCTCTTCAGGAGGTCAGGAACACCAAACACCCCATTATATGAAAGCACCATTCATAAAACTGCCTTCTGTAACAGGGAAAACCTGGATGTTACCATAATGGGTTGTACGCATAGAGAATGATTAAACCTCTAACCATTCATGGATGAGTTTGGGTGTTATTTGGCCTAAGAATAAGGAGAGAGAGAGACACAGAAAGAGAACCTTTATTTAAAAATGCACAAGCTGCATTTTACCTTACCTTTTTATTGTGTGTGTGTGTGTGTGTGTGTGTGTGTGTGCGCCTGTTACAGGCCGCAGTGCAAAGTGGCTGATACCTTCAGTTTGAGATATAGACTGACACTTTCTTCAGCAGCAGTCATGAGTGAGTTATTCCAATCTGTGCCAGCACAGCTGGAAAATTTACCTTCACATGGCTGGAATTCCATTTCAGTCTGTCATGATACACTACACTGAGCCTGTTTCTTCATGAGCTACGGCATTAGCGCAATGTGTTCCTTGAGATTTCTACCGTCGCCAAATACAGTCACTAAAGCTGGCTATTAAAAGGGCGGGTGGGGGAATAGAAAGAAGAAAAAGTTGGGATAGAACGCTCTGAGCCAGCAAATAAATTATTTTGCAATGGAATCTCAGCAACTGTGTCTCTCAGGGATACACAAGAAGACTTCTGTAACCGCAAGGGTTTTACTCTGTTTTTCCTCTTGAGCATTTACAATTCTTTCCCACATAGTTAACATCATTTAAAGCCAGTTCATACATCACATACTTTATGCATTGAGAGAATATCTGAATAGGGTTAATTTGATGGGTGAAGCAAGAACCTTACCTTCGACATTTGCTGAGGTGCACCTTATCATAAGGCTTATGATAAGAATTATTTTAGGTAAAGATTGCCTCCACAATCAAAAGGAAGAGTTGAGTCATGGGTGTGGTTGAATGGTCACAATTTTATACTTTAAGCTGTAGAGGAGCTACAGTGATAAAACTTAAAGCAGCCTGACTACGTACATACACCTCAGATGTAAGATTGAAAGGAAAATCCAAAGTCTCCTCAAATAATCACTATGCACCCCCTCAGCTCCAGCCCCCTCATCAGTATTGCTCCTGATGCACATTTCTAATTGCAACTCATCATGAAGGGGCTCCTGTAAAGCCATTCCACTTCCTCTGGTCAACATTCAGAAGGATGAAGGTTTCTGGACCATATTGCTGCCACTGCTAAGAAGACAACATTGTTTGCATTTATGTGCCAATATTTTTCCCCCTCCTTCCAGGCGTTTTAAGTACTTTTGTTTCATCCCCCACTATTATTAATGTTTTGCTGTTGTTTTTATCTGGTTGTTATAGTCTAAATTTGTGTAAACTGCCCTGGAAATGGTCCTTTCACAGGTATCAGACAACATCCATCCTGTTCTCTCGTGCTTTTAGCAACGTCTGAGAATAGCTGCTGCTTTTTATCTGTTAGTTGATGTTTTATTCTTGTGCTTTTATTGCTTTGATATTGTATTTTTATTGTGCTTTGGTGCTTTATTCTGCTTGTCTCCTTGAGACCGTTTCTAGTGAAAGGCAGGATAGAAACCAATTAATCAAATAGATAACAGAGCTTCAGGCCTTGGTGTCCTTCTTGACCAGGGATGGGGAACCAGCTGTCCCCTCCAGATGCTACTGGATTATATCATCTCTGACCATTGACCATGGTCGCTGTGGTTTATAGGGTCTAGCACCATCTGGAGGGCCACAGGTTCTCAACCTCCTCTTCTAGAGGTTCATGTTTAATGTTGCAATGAATCCTTTTTGTTTATTCATCCTTTCTGTTTATTCACAGCAAGCAAATCCACGGGATTGCTCAGGATTGTGTGGATTCAGATTTGGATATGTGTGTTAATAAGCATCCAAATTTGGCAAGCCAAAATTCATGGAGGATTAGTTCTGACAAAGTGAGTGATCTATTAGTCATGATCTGGAAGTAATACAAGGGATTGCCACCAGACAGGGAGACCAACGTTTCCTTTCATCATGTTCCTCTTGGCATGTTTATCATGCTGTTGGCTTTGCCATAGGTCTCTGGCTCTCCTGATGTGGAAAATGAAAAAAACAAAACTGCTTGCTATTTCTTTCTAAAACACCCAATCCGAGTGTATTTTCTCAAGATCACACCCTGCATATTAATTAAGGTTACTCATTAAATGCATGAAATATTTTTATTCTTTAAATGTCACGTTGTTGCACGACAAGCTGGCTAAATAACAACAACACTATTGTAGTTGCTGTATTGAATTTATGTGGCCACTCAACATTTTCTAGGCAGATTACAAAGCAAACATTCAATACTTAAAACAATCAGCACCAGCCATGACTGGAACTGACATACCAAAATGCATTGCACGAGGAAAAGTTGTTTGCAAAAATGAATTATTAGGCAAAATTGCATTCAAAGTGTATATATTTAGAGGAATGCGTGCTAAAATTATGATGAAGTTCCATAAGGACTTTTTTTTTCTTTTAGAAAAAAAATGCAAAATGAGGAGGAAATGCAGTGAAATAAAAGACTGGGAAAATAAGAAACTGAGAAAAATTAAAATTGAAAATGTGTCCCTCCCAAATAAGGTTCAATGAGCTTCCAAGCAGTCTCTCCCTCTCTCCCTTTCTCCTCACCTCTTTCCTCCTCCCTCCCAGCTGTACTGAAGAAGGCCCTGGCATAGAAATATAGAATTGGAAGGGACCCTTAGGATCATCTAGTCCAATCTCCTATGCAGCTGTCCCATACAGGGATCAAACCTGCAACCTTGGCATTATCAACACCACTCTCTAACCAACTGAGCTATCCAGGCAATACTTTGGGTAGGTTGTCCCACATGTTTTCTGTCCAGGAACTTTGAAGTCTCCTAACATCACAATCCTTTGTATGTTTACTAAGAAAAATCCACACAAAATACAATGTAGGTCTCTACCTCTGGCCAACAGAAAATAGTACCTAAGACTGCTGCTTAAAACAAAATTACAGCGTGGTCAGAGCTGGCAGCACAGAACACTTTTGTTCAGCATATGACCGGCTGCACTCTGTGGAATAATTTTAATGAGTCATGCCGGGGGGCAATACATCTGCATCCCCCACCATATAAGGCTGTGCCACAGAGAATCGTTTTCAAAGGAGTCAACTTATAAAGACGTGTTGATGTAATGGCAGATTATTCTAACTTCTGTCGAAATGCTTCCAGTTTATAAATAGGAAAATGTACTTTCATACTGTGGCAAATGCAAGCATATTAAAGTGTTCTCTGAAATTTCACCGGTTAGAAAGCTGAGGCTGGTGACCATTAGAATTACAGCTTCACAGCAAAGTCAATTTTTCACACTCCCCTTCAAGGCTTTTTGAAAGGGAAAAATATTTCAAGGCACAGAAGATTCATCCCATTTTATATCCTACCACCCAAAATACAAGTCCTGGATCCAAACTTATCACTCTGTGTGGCTGCTAGGGGGAAGGTGCAATGAAGGGATTCATCTTCCCCTGGAAGGGAGAACCTGAAAGCATAACTGAGGGGGAACTTCATCCCTCTGGTCCGTGCCTAGAGCATCAATGGATGGTCCTATGTGTCTTCAGCCAATGCTGTTGCCAACAGCATCTCCCCCAATTTTAGTGCTTGTTATCTTGCTATGGATTGGAGCTAACTGCCGGTTGCTGGTTCTGGAAAGGAGAACCCTATTCACAATTGTAATTTGGGCCCTTTTGTGCAGATTCCTTTCCTAAAAATAAATCTGTCATTCTGTTGTTGGCTTGCACTGTTGTGTGCCTTCTTTTTAAATTTTACTGTTCCTGGAAGAGAAAGCATTGAGATGGATCGCCATTTAGGATAAGAAGAAGAGTTTGGATTTGATATCCCGCTTTATCTCAAAGGAGTCTCAAAGTGGCTAACATTCTCCTTTCCCTTCCTTCCCCATAAAAAACACTCTGTGAGGTGAGTGGGGCTGAGAGACTTCAGAGAAGTGTGACTAGCCCAAGGTCACCCAGCAGCTGCATGTGGAGGAGTGGAGATGCGAACCCAGTTCACCAGATTACGAATCTACCGCTCTTAACCACTACACCACACTTGCTCTCACTTGAGAGCCACCACACTGGCTCTCAAGATAAGTGAGTGAGCACCCCTTTTCCTAAAAAGGAGATGCCCTTAAGGGTTTGTTTCATGTCCCAAGTCTGACACACACCCGGGCTGCTGATTGTGTCTGTGGGATCTGTCTGCGCTGTGGCAAGCCTGATATTCTTGCCATTCCCAACAGCATCATTTGGGCAAGTGGGCCAGGATGCCTGCATGAGACAGCAGTCAGGCTGCTCCACTACTAGATCCTTGCCCCATGCCCTGCCAAACTCTGTGAGCTGTAATCGAAAAAAAGTTGTGGTCTTTTGACTCCACTTCAGCCTACATGTGGTTCTTCCTCCTATAATCTGCCCTTGCTCCATGACATCCACCCAAAGTAATATTTTACTGACATGTTGTCATTGCAAACAGCTTTGAGGTTCTCTGCAACCAAGCAGCATATACATTTCATGAAATAAATAAATAAAATAATTGTCATAGGCAGCTGCCATAAACTGAGTCATGCCATTGATCCATCTAGCTCAGTACAGTCTGCACTGACTGGCAGAAGCTCTCCAGGTTTTCAGGTGCTTTGCCACTGAGCTATGGGCCTCACCACATATAAATTAAAGGGGTATTTTTCACATCTGAAAGGTGAGGAATATAAGCAGAAACCCACAGAATAAGAGAACTGTGCTGAAATATCAGATAACTAGATGACAGATAGATGATTGATAGATAATAGATGAGATAGATAGATGATAGATAGATAGATAGATAGATGATAGATAGATAGATAGATGATAGATAGATGATAGATAGATGATAGATAGATAGATAGATGATAGATAGATAGATGATAGATGATAGATATAGATAGATAGATAGATAGATAGATAGATAGATAGATAGATAGATAGATAGATAGATAGATAGATAGATAGATGATAGATGATAGATGATAGATAGATAGATAGATAGATAGATAGATAGATAGATAGATGATAGATAGATAGATAGATATAGATTCAGAATTTGTGCAGATTTCAGGCAGCAAACACCATTTTCTAATCTGAATCAACTACAGTCAGTCTTCTAGTTCTCTACCATTGCATTTCAGTCATTTGCATTCCGATAAATGGTTTCTTTCTATAACCCAGCCTTTCTGTATAGTTGTAATACCTAGCACCTTCATCAGAAAAGGAAATGCAGCAATGATGACAGACACCCTTCCAAACATATATAGGAAGTTGTACTCATTTTCTGGGCCATCAAGTGAGTTGACTGAGTTAAATAATTGGTACTCTTTCAGGCTTCCAAATTAGATACAATCCAATAATCACTTTCCTCGCCATTGGCAATTCAGTTCTCTGACACTGTTATGAGCATCTGCCTCCTCCATTAATTTAGCACCCAAGGCTTTCTCTGCTCTCCCATCTCGCCATCTGCACCTCCTCTTGGGCCAGATCCATGACTGTTACATAGCCTTCCCTCCTACTTTTGTAGACTGCAAGCTGCTGTGTGTTTCTTCACCAGTCCGTGAACTTATAAACCTGGCAGTGATAAACCTTTCATATAAGCTGGTAATGAAACTTTTTATATGTTGTGCTGTTGGAGGTTATTATGCTTTCTGAGAGTGACTTAGGTTTCTTGTTTTAAAATGAATTTGCCATGCAAATCAGCAGGTACAATTGAAGGAAGGCTTAAGAATCCATCTAATCTATGAGTCAAAAGCTAAGATGAATGTTGCACATGATTGCTATTCTCACTGGTGATGTGGTCCTTCTAAGTTCCTCAGGACAATACACTGGATGCAGGTGCACCTAGCTGAAGATTTCTGAACACTGATGAATGGGACAGAATATGGATTTGAAATAACTCAGTAGGTGATGCTATTTCCTTAATATCAGTGAAGAGCTAGGATGCCCATTACTACTGGAACTGTCCCCATTTTCATGAAGCATAGAAGAGATATAATAACCCTGCTGGTTCTGTCTTCTCTAACAAACAATGATCCTCTTCTATCTTGATACATGCGTCCAGCCCATATAATTATCATCTGCTTATCTTTCAGTTTTTAATAAAGAGGACCTAACATTTCTTGAAGCACTTCTCTGATGTGAAGAACAAAGGCAATGAAATAACTTTGTCCAGAGATGGAGTCATTTTGAGACCCAAGCAAAACATTTTCTGCTCCTTGAGTTTAGCATCCATGCTGTCACTGAAAGTGCTAAAACATGCAGCTGTGTACTCTGTCCACTCCTGCAAGAGCTCTTTCATTCCAGGATAGGTGAGCTTTAATATCCCCCAACCAAGGGATTCAGTGCAACAGTTGTGCTAGAAGAAACTCATTGCGCAACAGATTGTGGAATCAATTGTGAAATAAAGTTACCAGCAACCTGCATTTTCTTGTTCAGCAATGTTCCACCGGGACAAAGCATTTATCCCAGTGAAGCAATTTTACTATTAACTGACTTTAATATAGTGCTACATTGGATAGGACTGGGTGTCCATCAATATGCAGATGATACCCAGCTCTACCTCTCTTTCAAATCAGAACCAGCGAAGGCGGTGAAGATCCTTTGTGAGTGCCTGGAGGCGGTTGGAGGATGGATGGCAGCTAATGGATTGAGATTGAATCCTGACAAGACAGAAGTACTGATTTTGGGGGACAGGGGGCAGGCTGGTGTGGAGGACTCCCTGGTCCTGAATGGGGTAACTGTGCCCCTGAAGGACCAGGTGCGCAGCCTGGGAGTCATTTTGGACTCACAGCTGTCCATGGAGGCACAGGTCAATTCTGTATCCAGGGCAGTTGTCTACCAACCCACCTGGTATGCAGGCTGGGACCCTACCTGCCCACAGACTGTCTCGCCAGAGTGGTGCATGCTCTAGTTATCTCCCGCTTAGACTACTGCAATGCACTCTACATGGGGCTACCTTTGAAGGTGACCCGGAAACTACAACTAATCCAGAATGCGGCAGCTAGACTGGTGACTGGGGGCGGCCACCGAGACCACATAACACCGGTCTTGAAAGACCTACATTGGCTCCCAGTATGTTTCCGAGCACAATTCAAAGTGTTGGTGTTGACCTTTAAAGCCCTAAATGGCCTCTGCCCAGTATACCTGAAGGAGCATCTCCACCCCCATCATTCTGCCCGGACGCTGAGGTCCAGCGCCAAGGGCCTTCTAGTGGTCCCCTCATTGTGAGAAGCAAAGCTACAGGGAACCAGGCAGAGGGCCTTCTCGGTAGTGGCACCCGCCCTGTGGAACGCCCTCCCATCAGATGTCAAAGTGATAAACAATTACCTGACATTCAGAAGACATCTTAAGGCAGCCCTGTTCAGGGAAGTTTTTAATGTGTGATATTTTAGTTTATTTTTGTCTCTGTGGAAGCCGCCCAGAGTGGCTGGGGAAACCCAGCAAGATGGGCGGGGTACAAATAATAAATTATTATTATTATTATTATTATTATTATTATTATTGCAGTCTGGGTGATGCTAAGTAGAAAGCACCATACTTTTACCTTAAATTTCATTCCAAATGGCAATATATTGTTGAGTTCTGCAAATTATTCCCATTGTTATAATTATTTTTACTGAATTTATATACCGCCCTATACCCAAAGGTCTCAGGGCGGTTCACAGAACAAAATCAGAATATAAAACCACAAAATATATAATCAAAATAAAACAACAACCCGAACCCCGCCCCCCCCAAACACCACATTTTAAAAGGGCATAGGATGGCAATTAA